GTGTGTGTGTGTGTGTGTGTGTGTGTGTGTGTGTGTGTGTGTGTGTGTGTGTGTGTGTGTGTGTGTGTGTGTGTGTTATTTAGCAGTGAGCACTGGTCGTCCCGGGAATTTCAGCAGAATACCACCCCTCCCTCTTGGTGGCCTCCCTCTCTCAAAGCACAGAATCACAGAATGCCCTGGGAACTCCACTTCTCCCTTGGGTGCCCCTTCTCACGTTGCCAAACTAATTTTCTCTTCAGATTCTAGCCAATCACGAAACAGACTTTATTCCGAATTGAGCGGTGACCATCACCGTCATTGTGTCCTCGTTGTCAGTGTAGTTTCTGGACCATTTATCGCCAAGCTCTTGTTAAAACTTTCCTAAAAATGCGTCTCCACACATGTCACGCTGTGATTAGCGTAGCATGACTTTATTCACGTCTGTGAAACTTAATTTAAAACCTCTAAGCTGCATTGTAAAAGTATGATTTTGTTTGTCATGGCAGTTAGCTGTGAAATGTGAACGCAATCAGCACGTTTTCTTTAATCCCATGACTAAACGATGTCTAGACTGACGCGCGTTGCTCAACATAAATGATCTGTTGCTCTAAATGCAGCAATGAAAGAAAGAAATCAAAGGCCACAGCCACGATACAGTCACACAGGTAATTTCTTTTACTTGTCTACTGGATGATCAAAGGACTTCATAGGGGTGTGTGGGTGCATAGTCCTGTATTGCTCAGCATAGCTTTGCCCACCTCCAATCTGAGCAGAGGTTGATTCTACCAAGATGAGTGAAAACACATGTGCGGTCATGCAGGGCCTTTAGAGTCTGCTGTAACTATTTTTGGCCACTTAGGGGTAGCTGAAAAAAATTCTGTGAAAACGGCAACAACATATTATCATCATTCAAATTGATATGACCAACTTAAACACCCAGCAGACTGAGAAACATTCAAATTCATCTGGAGTCGTGCTTTTTTTCATTCTCTTTTCAGGCATCTGTCTCTTAATAATCCTCAGGAAACCAGAGAGCTGCTTTGACTCTAGCTAAGTCTCCCTGCTGTTTGCTGCTTGACTTTTTTTTGACAGCTGCTTTATTTGCTAAAACATCTGCATGCACAACATCTGTAAAGACTGTTTATATGCATGTAGTAGTGCTAGCAGTAAGCAAAACTCAGTTGGGTTTTAAAAACCCATCGATACATTTTCTTCTGCTTATCCAATTTGGGGTTGAGAGTGTTACATTCCAGCTTGAGAGGCGGGGTCAACCTAGGACAGGTAGCCAGTCTGTGTCAGGGCTAAAGCGACGAGACTGATAACCACTCACCATTTTGCATGTTCTTCCTGTGTCTGTGTGGGTTCTCTCTCGGTTACCCACACAGTCCAAAGACATGCAGCTGACTGGTGGGGTTAAAAACCAAGCAACAAAAAGTGGTTTAAAAATTTTTTTTCTGATGTTTCCTGATTAGTAGAGGAAGGAGACAATTTGTGAGCATTTTAAACCCCAGTCCCAGTCTCTGCTATGCTTTAACTTGGACCTCAGGACAACCAGGACCAGTAATCTGCTGAGCGGACGTCAGGGATGTGTGGCAGTGATGTGCGTATGTGTAAATGGGTGCCAACCCTTTTAATACTGGTCTGAACCCTTCCATGATCATTTAGCATATTAAAATGTTAACGTTTTCTCCTTAGCACTAAGCAGAGAGGAACCGCTTAGGGCAGGGGTGGGCAATTCCAGGCCTCGAGGGCCAATGTCCTGCAGGTTTTAGATCTCACCTTGGGTCAACACACCTGAATCACATGATTAGTTCGTTATCAGGCCTCTGGAGAAGTTCAGGACATGTTGAGGAGCTAATTTAGCCATTTAAATCAGCTGTGTTGGTTCGAGGACACATCTAAAACCTGCAGGGACACTGGCCCTCGAGGTCTGGAGTTACCCACCCCTGGCTTAGGGTGTTAGTTTTACAGGTCTTTTAAATTAATAAAGCAACCTGATGGAAAACAACAGATTAAATGCAAGTGATTCACTAAAGTTCTAAAATCTGATGAATATAACAACGATCCAGCCAAGAGTTGTTGAGATTTTACTCACAGCTCATGTTTTTAAAACTCATGTTGACTGTAGAGGTCAGGTCAGGAGGCGCCATCTTTTGGGAACGGCAATAAATATACAAATTTATTCCTTTGCAGACCATTTAACATTTGTGTGTGGATGGGGTATTTATCACTTTCGTCCAACTAACAGGTCTACTGAACCATGCTATTACCACTGCTACAAATGTTTATTGTAATAGATTTCTTTGATTAATTTTTTGATTATACTTTGTATAATTTATATAATTTATACTATAGTCTTTTGGGTAATAAGTTGGTGACACGGGGTTTTGAATCTCCATTGCTCCCTATACCTAACCTTTTTTTCTAGAATGGACTGATGCACCAGTCCTCAGTGCATTTGCTCATGTGTCAGCGGTTGCCACTTGAGGATTCATTATACTGACCTTGTCTGCTTTTCGTCTGTGTTATATTCTAAATCATCCTTATAGTTTATTCACTGTCAGACCCTATAATAAAGATTTGCTCTGAAGATGGATTAACTTTCAATCACTTATCGGGCAGAAGGCCGTTCTTGAGGGGCTTTAAAGGCGTATTTGAAATCAAATTTCGTGAGCTCTCGGCCTGCTGTCATTCCCTTTATTATTATTATCCAAGGTGACTTAAACCTTCTCGAGGTTATTCTGGTATTTTAAGCAATTAGCGGAAGAAGTCACTGCCACGATGTTCTGTGGTGCATATCATGGCATAATATATGAATAGTTTAAACCTTACCTATGTCTACCATAAATCCTCTCTCCCTGCCTTCCGACATCTGCATGCTTTTCACCAGTGTTAATCAAAATCAATAACTGAAAGCTCTCCGCCTTCCCTCCTGTAATGCACGCTAATTAGCATGTGTGATTTGCCTAATGCCGTTTTACATGGGTCTTGTAGCGAGACCGCTTTCTCAACTGTGTTTTCCAAAGTCAAGCAAACTTTACTCTCAGCTTCAAACCATTAGCTGTTTAAAGTCAGCAATCCCCACGTCCTCCTTTTCAAGCTTCTCTTTAATGTTGTCGTTGAAGTGACAGCTGCAGAACCTGCCGAATTGTCTTGGAGGTCGATACAGTCTCCTTAATGAACAGGTAAACCTCTTAATGACTTAGAGGACTTTAAAAAGCAATTTTATCTCAGGGGCTGTGGGAAATTAACCTATTAACCTGCTGCGACACTTGAAGACCGGAGCTGTGGGTTGCAGTTTCAAAATATGAGGTACTCTGCCTCCTCCTAATGAGTTACAAGTTACAAGACAAATAATACTGAATGCAACTTTTTGTCTCCTAATAACCTTTTAGAATTTCCACTTGTTGGTGTTTGTAACACACTTAGTGTCTCCCTCCTTTTTTTTTCTCTGACCCTCTTTCCCTGATTCATTTGGCTCCTCTCTGGCTCCCAGTGTTATCACTTTCTGCCCCTCCTTCTGTCTCTTCCACTCACAATCAGGCAGAAAGAAGGGCTTTTGTTGCTGCCTGAAAAGCCTCTTTCTCCCTCTGTGTGTGTATTCTTGTGGGAACTTTCTCCACAGAACAATGTTCTCAGGTAGAAGACTTTCAGGTCTAATATTCTCTCCTGAACACAACAAAGACCGCCACTCTTTGTTTCATTTGCAGCGCCATTTATACCATTAGGAACACGCTGTTCCCGTCACATTGTTTATACATCGTTAGAAAAATATTACACGTTATGAGACTTATTTTTCATCGGGGGTTAAAACAGGATATTATCCTCTATTTGACTGTATGTGTGTGGCTCAGCTTCTATTTGAATCAGACTGCTCTTCATATCAACATTACTTCCTGAAGCGTAGTCATCACACAGGTTGTTGTTTGAGTATCACAGGCAATAAGTAGGAAAGAGATTCATTTATTGCTTTATTTACTTGAATGTAATTTGAGTCTCTTTTGTGCTACATTTAACAACATTAACATAAAGTTGCATATATTTCAATTTGTTATAAATGCAAATGGAGATCAGACAAAAGTGGACAAAAGACCTTTCACCTCCTAGGACCTGGCGTCCACATATGTGGACATCACATTTTGGGTTATTTAGACCAAAATACTCAATTTTTCTCTACAAGGGCCTGATATCCACTTACGAGGACATTATACTGCTACTGTTCTATCAAATGTTTAAACAAATATCCTCATATGTG